AGAGAATTACGAAAAATTCATTGCGATATTAAAAAGAAATTCCACTTGAAAATTGTAATATTTATTTGTTGAATAACGAAACAATTGCTATTATTTATTTCGAAAAATGAAAAATACAATCGTAAATTTTCTTTAATTGTAGAAATTTCATCAAATTTACGTCAAAATGAAATTTTCCTTTTTTTCCAATCAAAAAAAATTTCAATTCAAAATATCAAAAAAATCATTTCAGTTTTTCTTCCAATTATTATTGCAATTAGCGAAGGATAAGTTTTTGAACGATCGAGAAATCACAAAATTTTTCTTAAAAAATTTTTCATAAAAAAAAAAAGTCTTAGAAAATTTTCTCATAGAAAATCAATTATTGTCAGCTTATAATTTAAAATTAAATATTTCCAATATGCAATATTTTATTTTATTAAATCCGATTAAATCCGTCTTATAAGATGCATATATGAGTTGCATTGCATTTTAATGATTTAACATTTCATCTATATATGAATATGTTGATTATTTTTAGCTGTCACAATTTTTATTTTTTTAAAAAATTATTTAGCACTTTTTTTTTTTCACCTATACGGTAATTTCAAATGACTCAATCATTTTCATACTTTACAACAACAACAACAACAACAACAACAAAATTCGAATTTCATTTTGTATATTTAAAAAAGTCACTTGAAATGCCTAATTATTATTAACATATTGTTTGATTGATTGATTGTATATTTTAAAAAAGTCGCCTGAAATGCCTAATTACTATTAAGTTATTGATTGATTGATTGTATATTTAAAAAAGTCACTTGAAATGCCTAATTATTATTAACATATTGTTTGATTGATTGGTTGTATATTTAAAAAAGTCGCTTGAAATGCCTAATTACTATTAACCTATTGATTGATTGAATTAACATATTGATTTGATATTAACATATTGATTGATTGATTGATTGATTTAAGCATGTCAAATGCAGCGATCAGTTTTTGACACGTTCAATTAATATATTTTCAACAACAATTATTTTGTCATCAATTTTTTCGCCTTTGCAGTAAATTTCCCATTTTCCATTTCATTCTCGTTTTTTGCAGTGTTTTGTTGAACTCTTTCCATTTTTTCTACGACAAAAACATTAAAGCTTTTAATTGTTTTCTTTTTAAAGCGATCAATAATTAAATGTTTTTTTTGTTTAAACTTATAAACAACTTCTATTATATCGCTTTCGGTTTTTTCTTTTCCATTTTGTTATCATTATTATTTCACTATGATATATATCTATTTACATTAGATTCGTTAGTTAGACGATTTCATTCCTAAAAAATTTTCTTCATTTCAACAAATAATATTTATTAGAAAATAAAATAACGAATATAACGTTTTCATTTCATTCGTTGCGAAATTGAAATAATTTTTTTCTTGAAAATGAATAATTAAAATTTGATAGAAAAGAAAAGCGAAAGAAATAAGCTTATTTATAAGGAAATATATGCTAATTTTTGTACAACCATTTTTCAATGATAACATCTCAAAATTATTAATATAAAAAATTTTTTCTTTTTTTTTTTTTAAAAGCTTAATTTAAAACTTTTAAGCTTCGCTTAAAACATTAGAAATATTCAACATTTTCATCTAATTGATAATTATTCTCTGATAACATTAATGTTTAAAGTATTTTTACTTTTTTGAAATTAAAAAAAATGTTGCAAACAAAAATTTTTGAAGAAATTTTTTCGAGATAGAAATAAATTTATGTTTATTTTTCAAAATAATCTCAATTAATTAGAGTAATTATTAATTTATTTCATCAATTAATTAATTAAGTTATCTTTTAGATGATGTAATAATCAAATTTTTTTATTAATTAATTTATTTATTTGTCTTTTAGATGATATAATGGATCTGTGTATTTTTCCATCTAAGTGTTAAAATTTTTTTTTTCAAAATAAAATTTAATTATTAATGTTAGCAATAAACTGCCATTACTGATAACAATTATTTCATTCTATTGATAACTTCAAAATATTCACAATTAATTTAAGTGATTGTTAATTTTATTAATTAATTAATTTATTTATCTTTCAGATGATATAATGTATCTTGTGAGCATCATTAATTATGAAAAATTTCAGAGATGCGAAAAAAACTAAAGAAGTGATAATACAATGATTAATTTAATTGAAAGCTAATAACTTTCATTTTTGTTAGTTATAATTAAAATGTTTCTTTTAAAACAGCATTTCCTTCAATAGTTATACTTAACATTTCAATCTCCGATCGTATTTCTCATTTATAATCAATGCTTTTAAAAAGCTTACAACATTTTTGTAGTACCAATAATTTGTTATTAACCTTACCTTCCAGGAGACTATTTCAAATGAAAACAAAAAACTTTAAATGAGCCATTATTAAGGAGCAGATGAAAGATTAAAGCTGGAAACTTTTTTATCGAGCTAATCATACCAGACTTTTAAATGTTTCTCAAAAATTCTACTGTTATTAGCAAATCCTCAGAAGATAATTCTACAAAAGTTTCTGCTAACCTATCAGGTGATAGCAAACCAATTCAGACATGCGCTCAATCAATAAGTGGATATGATCATTTCACCAATCATTAAATTTCCAAATAATTCCATCAAATATTCATATGTTCCTCAATTTGTTAGTTTACTTCAATCCGGCTATATCTGTAACAGTTAAACCAATGATAACAACCGTCCTGTTCCACGGAGTTGGACGATTTCTTTTATTTACGCTATCAAATATTTCGACTAACGAAGAAATTAATTACTTCATATTATTGCTGTATTAAATTGTCGCCACTAAATTTATTGTTTCATTTATTTCTCAACAGTTAATTGATTTCTAAAGTATCCAAAATGATTCTACTAAGAAAAAGTTATAAGATTCTAATTTTAGTGATATATCCATTTATTATTCTGATATTTGTCTTTCGGTATGTAAACATAGGTTTTTCGGATTCTGTGATACTTTATGGATTCTGTGATACTGCAACAGAGATCGTGAAAATTGAATCATTTGGATCAAAACAAAACAACTAAACTTCTGCAACAGTAACATGAATTTGAAAATAAAAAATAAACAAATAACTGCAATAAATAACGTAAAATATTTTTGCTTTAAGGTTATATTATATGTTATATCTTTAAGGTTATATATACTAACATAAAATATTTTTGCTTTAAGGTTAGTTATAGTTATATACTTTAAGGTTATATTTCTACGATCTAACTTTATATATAAAGTTAGACTTTCAAGAGTTAGATCGTAGAAAAGCATTTCGTTTTTTAGTTAATCTCAACTCAAATATTCAATCCTATTCAAATGTAAATTCTCGATGATAAGTCCAATGTGTTAAAAATATTCAGCATAGATATTTTATTCCTAAATTTAAATTTCAAATTTAAATAAAAAAATTTTGAAATATCTTAATTTTCCATAAAAGATAAAATCGCTTATCGTTTATTCCTATGAAACAATTCTTTTTCATTTCTTCGTAAACATCCATTTCATTTCATTTTTTTAACTCTCAGAATTTAAATCGAATAATTTATTGTGTTTAAAGAAGAAAGTAAAAACTTTGAGTTAATAATTCATTTCGCTGTTTGCTCTGTTTTTTCTTTGAAATAATTTTTTATGTTTATCTCTTTGAATGAAATCATAAATTTTGAATAAATTATTGCAAAAAGATTTTAGCAAAATTTTTTTTGCGAAAAAATGAAATCATAAATTTTATGAAAAATTTTAGCAAATTTTTTTTAAAAATTTGAGAAAATTTTCCAAACAAAAATTAATTAATTGAAAAAAGCTAATTGTTTTTTTCTATTTTCTTTGCTTATTAATTTAAATTCTTTACTTTTTTTTGAAAAAAATTCTATTTTTTTGAAATTTTTCATTTTTTCTTTTTTAGTATCCGAAAGCAAAAATTTTCGGATTATTTTGGAACATTTATATTTAGCATAAATAAATGAAAGATTGCATTGTTTGAAGAGAATTCGACATTTTGGTTTTATTTCAAATGAAATTCTCATTCCTCTCTGAATGATTGGAAAATTATGCAAAACAAAAATAATCAAAAATTAAAAAAAGATTTACTACCTATAATAACCTTAATTAATTAATTAATATGCAAAAAAATAAAATGTGCAAAAAGGAAGGGATAGTTTTAGAAAAACCTGAAATTGTAAGAATTTGTCATAAATTATTGTCGCAATATCATTGCGGCAGCATTTCTTAAAACTTATTATTTTCATTGCAAGCTTAGATTTCATTGTAAGAAATACTTCAAAATACAATAAATTTTATATCGTTGATTTAATTGTGAAATTTTACTGGCATAAAAAATATCATTAATGAAGTTTTGGATATTGGTCAACTGATTAGCTTATGATAAATTATCATAGATTAATCAGACAAATTATTAATATAAATAATTTCAATTGATAACTTAAACTGCGAAAGAAAATTTGGTTATCGTCAAGAATATCCAAGTAGAATTCTCGCTTGCATTATTTATTACTTCTCCGACAAGTAATAAATTGCTTTCTGTATTGTATTCTTGATGATTCCTATTTTGGATAAGAAATCATCCTATTATATTATTATTATATTATGCTTATTTATTATGGTTTAAACTTTAAAGTTTAATTAATCAAATAATTAGTGGATGATAATAATTATTTGAAGTTATGATGATCATATAATCTACAAAATATTATTCAACAAACTTTATTCAATTGTTTAAGATGTCAAAAATATCAGAAAGTACCATTTAGAATTCCATATTTTACGAATTATTTCATGTGCCTCGAAATGCTTGCGTATTTCGTAATATTTGCAAAAGAAAAACGTATAAATGGTTGTTGCAACAATTTTCAATTTCTTGCGATAATCTTTGATACAGTATTCTCCACTTATCTTTCAGGTAGCAAACGAAACAGTTAAAATATACCGTAATAACTATTAAATTAATTTATTAAAAGCAATGAATGCTACAGAATTATTGAATAATAATAGTACAACAAATGCGGAGAAAACAGTTACCGAATTATATCTTTTCATTTTGCCAACAATTGTTATTTTTGGCTTATGCGGTAATATCGTCTCATTGGTTACTATTTTTCATTCACGGCTACGAGAAGTAAACATTTTGTTTATTACTTTTCAATTTTGTTTATTTTACTTTAATTTACTTATTGAAGCGAAAGATAAAGAGAATCATAAAAGTGATTCATTGATCAAAAAATAAAAATTTCGATATTTTCAATCGAAGAATTATTCGCTTTAACTTGTTCCTGTCGATTATATATATATATGTGTATAGAAAATTTAATTATAATAAACAAAATTGCACATATATAAAATTTAATTATAATAAACAAAATTAACATTCATTGGTGCAAATAGAAAAAAACAGCAGCAAATAGTGAAATTACTGAAACAATGAAAATTATATTTAAAATTTTTTTCAAATCTATTAATATACAAACGAAAAGTGAATTAATGAGTACGTTATCAATTAGTAATATATCATTTAAAATAGTATTTGATAGTCACAGAAGAATAATTGCAATATATTTTATCACAATTGAGGTGATTTATATTTCTTATTGATTTTCTTATTAAAACCTTTGATCTCAGGTTATTAGTGAAGTAAATTACAGGTTTCAGCAAATCTCTATTTGATAGTGCTTACAACAGCAGATAGCGTTTTTCTACTTGGTTTATTATTAATTCTATTCAAACTTGATTTTATGACATATCACTTCTGTGTGGCTATCGAATATATCTTATCAACATCTTCCTATATCAGTAGCTGGTCCGTTGCCGCACTTACTATTGAACGGTACTTGGCACTTGCATATCCATTGAAACATGCTAGGGTTAGTCTTTTTTTCAAAAATATTTTCTCTAAAAACTGAAATGAATAAATAGAAGTTATTTACTATATTTTTATATTAATTTCTTTAAGCAAATTTGTCAGCTTATTTAATTTGTTTACTAATTTATTTATTGTTTATTTATTTGGAAAAAAACAATCATTTGAAATACATTTTGCCTTTTGTTTTATATAATTAAATTAGTAAAATGATGAATTTTTTATGTAGTACAATTGATTAGATAAGCAATTGAGCATATTCCTTTTCTTTAGAAATAAACCTCTAACTAATTTCAGTGATTTCAATCAAATATAATTTTTAGCAAAATTATTTACCAGCACTTCTCATAACTGTAAATTAATCGAATTCATTGAATAAAAATAGCAAACAATTTTATAGTATGGACATTTGGATCGATGGAAAATGATTTTATTTTTAATACCTATACCATTTGCTTTCAATTTGATTCAATTTATATCATTGATACCATATAATGATAAGAATGATCCTCAATATCCCAATATACGCAAGTGTATTCCATATAATGGTAGTTTTCAGGTTATTTTTGCATTAATACTATTAAAAATACTAAATTGAAATTTGAGATCAGAATTTTCATTTTACGAAAAAATTACTCTAACAATTGTTTAAGATTATTATCGAAGCTGCTGATGTAATATTATGTTATGTGGTACCATGCCTTTGTGTAGTTTTATTGAATTTACTTGTTGTTGGAAAAGTGAAACGTAGTTTCACTCATGGTCCTAATCGATCACGCTCAAATAGTAATTCCATTCGTCGGCGTCATGGTTCAGCTATGTTTGTATTCATATTTTTCCCTTTTATTTTTTTAAACAAAATGTTATAAAATGTATTTTATGATTATTTCAAGTAGCCAATTTAAAATAAATGTAAATTTGTGTATAATTTTAAAATATATTATACAAATTATTCTTTCGTTTCATTCATTTTTAAAAAGATTGTATGAAAATAATTTTACAAATAAGAACAAATTTGTGAAAATATTTAATATGCAAAAACGTAAGTACCATTTGCAGGATATTATTAGTAGTACCAATAGTATATATGTTATTAAATACGCCATTTTATTTGTTACGAATAACGGATACGATAGCATTATATGTCTTTCAAAGTAATGAATTCTCTATTGTTGGTGGCTTAAATGGTACTCTTACAATATTCTTATACAATACCGCTCATTACTTATATTATATCAGTTTTGCTTGTGATGTTATCGTTTATGCATTTTCCAGGTTTGTTTTATTTTTCATTCATTTTGCAAATGTTAAATTAAAACTTACTGTAATTATAATTTTCTTCTTTTTTTTTTTCAAGTAAATTTAATTTCAGTTATAATTTTCGGAAGACAGCCATAATTGCATGGCGTCAATTAGTATTCTCACATAGTGAAAAGATTCAAAAAATTACAAGCGAACGATTTCCTGTCGATTATCAATGACCGATGGAAATATTTTCATTATGCCAGCCTACTATTATTGCTGTAAATAACATTATAAATAAATTTTTGTAAATTTTGATTTGAAATGAATAATAAGTTGATAAATATTTCAGTACTTGGTAATACCTCAGATTTTTTGCAAAAAACGTTAAAAACAGTATCTGATTTAAGAAGAAATTTTTGCATATAAAAAATTGGAAGCGCTTTTGTCGCACTAACAATCAATATTACCGTTTTATAGTTTTGCATAGAAAGCATCTGTCAATTTTTCAAAATAGTATGGATAAAATTTCTTCTATGGTTGCGAATTACAACAATGTAAAAGGACTGACTGATCAGTGAGAAATTCAAATGACCACTGTACCAAATAATCCTTATGTTAAATGCGCTAAATTATTCCTTCGGTTCGTTTAAACTGTCATTAGTATAAATTAATTAACAAATTTTGCATCAGATAACTAAATTTTATATTGTTACTTCTGATCTAAAATTAACCCAAATTTGTAAATAAAATAGCAAATTTGCTAACATTTATAAAATTTTGTAATAATCTGAACGTATCATCATATAATATCATTAATTAACTAATTAACAATATTAATTAAAATATGTATAAATATAGCAAATTCAATGATCTTTTCAGAATAATGCTGAATGAATGAATTTATAAATTTCACCTTTTCATGATTTTTGAAATATCACGTCATCTTTTATTTGTTTTTATTTTTCTAAAAATATATTAATAAAAAGGGAAATGTTTTTCGATGACGGAATAGCCATCGAATCATATAAACATCGAAAAAATTGCATTGCACTGATCAGAGATTGAACAGGCAGCTGGCATAACGAATCGTATCGCAGAGAAATGATTTGCTATAAATGTTACAAACAAGCACAAGCTGTTTCATCTCGCGCAAAAAAATTATTAAGTCTAAAGTAGTAAATTTCAAAAAAAGTAAAAATGAAATTTTATAAATCTGTCAAATTTCGTAGAACAAAAATACATTTGATTTTACCGCTTTGCAATAAAGCATCTTTAAGTGTTGCATTAAATAGAAATTTCAACTTTACAATACTTATTATATAAATCATTTGTACTCTCTCTGTTTCTATCGGAGCTAAAAATTGCAACAATTTTTAGTTAATTTCGATCTGATAATCGTGTCATTGATATTGATATCTGTTGATAATTTCGATATGATAAATCGGATCATTGATATTGATATCTGACAATGTTGCATTAAGCTCTTCGTTTCCTATCGAAAAAATAGCCCGTCATATTTTTTTGCACACCTCTTTGCAAAAAAGATTACAAAGAATATCGTAATTATTTTCAAATGTTTTGATTTCTTTATTTGAAGTTAAATTTATAATCAATCATTGAATTATGAGAGATTGGATTAATATGAATTATTATTATTCAGTTTATTATTTAAGTAAGAATATAACTAATTATAAAGGTTAACATTTAACTATACTTAAGAAATAATCATTGAAAATTAAAGATTAAAGAAAATCTTAAAAATCCTAAATCTTAAAATGTTCCCTTATCACTTTATTTTATTCAAAATCAAAGCTTTTAGGTTAGATTGTGACGTTTTTTGAGAAAACTAACGCATGCAAATTGCATACTGATTGTATAGACAGATAACGATAACACTAAAATGGATCGCTTATCGAACAAAAACTTTTTCTTCGGACTTTTTTTTCATTTATTTTCACAAATAGGTTCTTTTCCTTTTTTTTGATGATGATGATGATGATGATGATGATGATGATGATAATATATTAATGAGAAAGTAAGGAAATTATCCGAAACGATTTTAATTGTAAAATTTACATATTATTTTTGTATTATTCAAAAATTTGAAAAAAAAACCTTTCTAATTTTTAATTATTGCAAAAAAAAAAACAAAATTAAAATTATTACAAAAAAATTAATTAGCAAAAAAAACACAAAAATAAAAAAAATTAAAATTAGCAAAAAATTTTTATTTTAAAAAATTGAAAATATTGTAATCGTTGTTCCATTAATGGTTATCTTTTTTCATAAAAAAAAGATTTCAACATTTTAAATCATTTAAGCACCTAAACTGTGTATACAATTTCAGAGAAGTCAAGTAAGAACAATTGTTTAATACAGATATTTATTATTATTACTATTATGATTATTATTGTTATTTATTATTATTGTTATTGTTATTATTGTTATTAGTTATTATTGTTGTTATTATTATTGTTGTTATTGTTATTATATACTATTATTGTTATTATTGGTTATTATTTGGTTCAGGTATTACTATTATTATTATCATTATTATTGCTACTGTTACTGTTCTTCTTATTATTATTCTACTATTATTAGTATCATTATCATTGCTATTGTTATTACTATTGTTCCAATTCTTATTCTTATCATTATTCGTAATACTATTATTTTTATATTAATTATTGTCATGCGTACTCAGAACGTGCTTTTTTATATGATTTGATTATTATATGCCAATTAACCATTATAAGACAGGTAAGAGATAAAATGTTATCAATTAAGGATTTAAAAATTCTACACCTATAACTTTTAATAGATGAAGTTTTCTGGTCCAAATATAATTATCCTAATAATAGTAAAAATATTTATTTCTATTTCATTCATTTATTCATTTAACTTTTTTCAAATCTATTCGGCATTCTTTTCAAGATCCTAAAATTCAGCTAAATGCTACTTTGTTTTTCATTGATTTTTCAATTTCAATTTATCTTTCCTTTCCTTTCATTTACTCAGATGAACTTTTCATTGAGCACAAATGTAGTTTTAATTTTGTCTTAAAAGGATAATAACAGTATTAATTTCATTTCAAATATTAATTTCTAATTTTTGTTATTTGCCAAGAAAGGGAAAATTTTACATTTGCTAGGTGGCAATAAATTAGTAATATTTTTCTTGTATTATCTAATCCATTCAAAATTAGAATTAAATTGAATTTTTTAGATAAAATTTTTCGGAAATCTATTGCATAATTTGAAAATGACAAGGAGTAATACTTTTAGATCTAGAAGTTTCCATTTGAATAATTAATTCATTGAATGAAAATATTGTTTAATTAAAAATAAACAAAAAGACGAGGATTTTTCGGACTTCAATTTTATACTTTAAGTAAAATTAGTTCATCTTGACTTAGAAATATTACACTCTAATTCATCCAAAGTAGCTGAAATAATTCTTTATTTAAATCAATATGTTAAATTAATTTATTCAATTAAAGTTTTTCAAATTTTTGATTTAATTAATAATATAGCATTTGAAAGGAAAATATGATACGAAAAAGAATTGAAATCTCTAAAACAATCGCATTCTTTTTTAAATTTCTTAAATTTTATTGTAATTATTGATATTCGAAATATTTTAAAGATCAAGTGAAATCTCGCAACTAACAACGATTGATCTGATTATCTGTGCCCTATCAGTATTTAAAATTTAACCATCAATTAGCCCAAAGCATATATTCAAATTTTAAATCAAATAATCGGCTTCTAATTCAAATCGTTGGCTTAGTGAAGACTAAGAAATGCTGATTTGTATAATTTTTAATTCTTTAAAATCTTTAATTTCTGAATGCATATCATATCAGGCATTATTTTTTTTGTTCAATCTTTCCGATAAACCACCGATACTTTATAATATCCATTTTCTAATTTCAGTTGCAAAGAGCTTATGAGAAGTCAACCATCTTCGGAAAATGCATTCTTCATCAATCGTTGTAAGCATTGTAAGCATAAAAGCAAAATGATCGATAATTGATTGTTTTCTGATTTTAATTGCAAATGGTTTTTAATGGACTTTTATTCAAAAATTGAAATTTACATATGATTGAAAAATATTAATTATTATTGCTAATTAAATATAATTATTTATCTAATAAATTATAGTTTTTGGTACGATAATTTATGCTTCATTTCTTTTTACTTACCTAAGCCATCATTACTCATTTCTTCTAAGATAATAAATGAGAGGACAACTTTTACAGCTACTTTTTATAGTTATTGATCCTTTTCATTCATGATTACCGTTATTTATTGCTTAAACCGTATTTTTAAGCTTCTAAGTTTTTTTTTATCAATATTTATTGATAGGCGATAAGCTTCTTTATAATTGCATTTATTATAAATATTTGCAAAATTATTTATTTCAGATTTGATATCATTATTCTTTTCTCCAATAAAAATGCTTATCCTTACGAATGCCATATATATAAATATGTTGTACAATTCTTGATTGATAGTGATTATCAAGAGAACTGATATGAAGCATAAAAGTCGATAAATTCTCATGAGATTATGAAAACCGGAAGCAACGAATAAATGCTTCATCTTAATCTAACGGTTTTTTTTACTTCTTTTTGTGCTAATGTTGCAAAAAAACGAAATGATTTTTTTTCTTACGTTTTCCGTTTTTTTCTTCTTGATTGGTCTATCTTATTTCCGTAATATAACGGCTGTGAAAATAATTCCGTTCGATTTGACAGGATTGCGCTTTCACCGATTGCGCCTTTTCTTAATCATTCAATAATTCATTCTTCTTTTTCCACTCCCCCCCTTCTCGTTATCATTTCTAATACAGGTGAAATGACTGAGCAAAAATTAACATGGAAAATCTTTTCGAAATATTTTTCATATTACGGTACTAGTAGATTGAATTTGATATCCGTAATCATATGATCGCTTTTGCTGATAAAATTATTAACGCGCCGAAAATGACGAATAGAGAAAATATGAAATAAACATCTGAAATATGAAATAAAATTAAATAATTGTTAAGTGAAACAAAAATGAAATTATAGGGAAGTAAAAAATAATTGGAAATTGATTAGAAAATTTTAAAACAAAAGAATAGAAATATTTATTTAAAAATATAATTTATTTACATATATTTATTTATTTATTTATTATTTATTTGCATAAATTAAGTATTCGAAATCCGAAAGTGTTCCTCGAGAAATAAT